TGAAAACTGCCTTGTAGAGGGGCAGAAGTGAAAGAAATTACATTCCCTTGCAGAAAGCATGGCTCTGATCCTCCTGTTCTCCCCTTGCAGCCGAGCTCACCTCCGCCTGTGTCTAGAACGCTTAAAAGTTCTGATACCGCTCGGACCAGACTGCACCCGGCACACCACGCTTGGGCTGCTCAACAAAGCCAAAGCACATATCAAGGTAAGAGCTGCCTTACCCTGCTGCTTTCAGCATGGGCTCTTGGGAAGTGCAATGCAATTGCTCATCCTTGCTGCCTAGAGCTAACTCTGTTGAAGGAAACATGACACTGTCAATAAATAAATAAATAAATAAATGAAGGAGCAAGCAGACCTTGCCCCCTTGGTTAGCCATTTATCATTGCCACAAGCCACACTGTTGGAAGAGTTCATAATGAAGTCCTTAACTACAAAAATGATGGATTTGAAGAGCAAGGATCTTGTTCTGTATTGTGATCATTTGTTGACAGCTACATCTCTTTAAAGAAAAACATACCTACTGTTGAATGACTGCATTTTGATGGGAAATGCAGCTTTTTTTCTGGTGTGCTAATGAGTTTCCACTGCCAAAGCATTAGGACAAACCACAAGAGTGTGAGACAGGTTTGGCTTGCTGGAGTTCCATGTGTGAACCTTCCAGCTAGTCCAGCGCTCTTCTAGCTCCACTTTTGGCAAAGTGAGACATGAAAAGAAAATGCAGCATTGTAAGAATCTGGGAGAGGCTGAAATACTTCATTGCAGGTCAGAATATAGAGAGAGAAGATGGGTGATGAGGGAGGAAAAGTGCTGCCAAAGGGACAGAGTTAGCCTGAAATGACTCCTCCTTATGCAATGTGCTTGTCATAGGAAACAAAGAACAGTGCCCTGGTAGATTTCCCAGCTGTGATCAAAGAAATCTGTAGTAAGTTATGTAAATCACTCACTGAATAGAAAACTGTTTCTGAGAAATCCTTCTAAACCATGCAGTAAGGAACACAGAACTCCCAGGGCACGTTTTTCTGTTGGAGCAGCTGGTAACAAACCCTGGAGTAGATGGTTTGGGGGTTTGAGGCCCCTGCGTGGGCAGAAGCGGTAATGCAGGTGTCTGATCCCGGGTAGGATGACCCACAAACTGCTGCAATTCACAGCGTTTCCCCTGGAGAGGCTGAGTCCTCAGAGACTCTTTGTACTAATGGGTATGATTTATCAGGACCTGAGAGGTGGAAAGATGTGGGGAGAGGGCACTGTGCTTGGAGACTGCGCGGCAGCTTGGTTCAGGGCACTTGCAGCTTGAAGCCTTCTGAGACTGGGAAGGTCTAAGCAGTGGAGCACCTAGGCAGGTGGCAGGGCAGTGGAGGTGGGAGGGAAGGAGAAACGGAGAAAACTAATTACTGTGTTTTATTTGATCATGTCAGAAACTTGAAGAGGCTGAAAGGAGAAGCCAACACCAGCTTGAGAACCTGGAACGAGAACAAAGATTCCTAAAGAGAAGACTGGAACAACTACAGGGTCCTCAGGAGATAGAGCGAATACGAATGGACAGCATTGGATCTACCATTTCCTCGGATCACTCGGACTCGGAGCGAGGTGGGTGTTGCTGAACCAGCATGGAATTGCCAGGACTCTGTAGTGAGAGAATGAGATTCATCCATTTCTTACCTCTCAGCTTCCCCTTCTCATGGCCTTGGACGTTTAGGCTGCTGGTTCTGCTCTCACACAGGCACATACATACGCATACATATGGAGAGTTTAGTGTTTTGCATGAGTTCTAAGTCTGGAAGGATTGTTGTTGCTGTCAACTTGATCTGATTTCTGTTGTATTGAAAGGGATGGTAAAGTTGAGATGCTTGTTGTGATTTTTGGTCTGCTGAATCCCATGGCAACACAAAGAAGAAAATATAAGAAGATATTAATGAGACTGGAATGAATGTTTCACACATTTCACCCCTCTGCTCCCCCATCAAATTTCTTGTAGAGTTCATCTTCTCAGTCAAAACTGGCTAGAGATACCTAAATGGCTAACTGAATTAAGATTACTTCCTTTTTGAAAATATGCCTACAGTGGAGAGAACATTAGGCACAATAGATGGTTTGATATTTACTGACAGACCAAAGAAGCTGCATAGTTTGGGTGTGAGTCTGTAGTTTAAAACAAAAATCTTTTGGAAAATTCCTGAACAATATGGGAACCAAGATACCTGGTTAATTGGCTCTTTGCTTTTAAAGTCTTTCTTAAAAACAAGATGTCTGTTCCAAAATCCACTAAGCATGTGTGAGAGTAACCCAGATTCCCATGGTAATGCATTGTAATTGTGTGTGGTCCAGACTTTAGAAATATAGTGTCAAGCAACT